GTAAAATTTTGACATGTAAAGAATGATAATAGCAGAATAGCTGCTACCAGACCAACCTTCTTACAGATAACATTTATACACTCAAGACAAAATACAAAAACAACTACTTGAGGACTGGAGAGCAGTCAAAAGTAGGCAGCCACTCTGGAAAATAGTTTGGCCGTTCCTCAAAACGTTAAACACAAAGTTACTATTTAACCCAGTAATTCTACTCTTAAGTACATATCCAAGAGAAATGAAAACATGTCCATACAAAAACTTATGCACATTCATAGCAGCATTACTCATGACAAAAATTGAAACAACCCACATATCTACCAACTGATAAATACAAAGCATGTCATATTCATATTTATATACCAGTACATAAAAGCCCAGCAACCAGAACAGTCGAACGATCAGAACAACCGAAACAACCAGTGGCTATGACACACACTGCGGCAGCCAACCAGCCTGATCTGGGCCCCGATTGGCACCCCCCCAGCCGGTCCCTCCCCTGACCGGCCCTCAACACCCCAATCAGAGGTGGGGCCGGCTGGCCAACCTCCTGCAGACCCTCCTCCTGCCGGCCCGGCCAGATCACCCATACACAAATTTGTGCACCGGGCCTCTAGTTATGAAATATTATCCTATATAATAAAAGCCTAATATGCTAAGTGTCCAGTCGTCCATTCAACCAATCAAAGTGTAATACACTAATGATATGCTAAGGCTGCTCAACCGCTCACTATGACGTGCACTGACCACCACGGGGCAGACAGTTGACTGGTTGACCAGTCAGTATGACATGCACTGACCACCAGGGGGCAGATGCTCTGATTGGTAGGTTAGCTTGTTGCTGGGGTCCGGCTGATTGGGACTGAGTGAGACAGGCCGGACACACCCTGGAGCCCTCCTTGGCTGGCCAACCTCCCGCGTCGCTCTCCAGCCCCAATCGTGCACAGGTGGGGTCTCTCAGCCTGAGCCCTCTTGCAATCTGGGCTGAGGGACACCCCCTCCAAGTGCATGAATTTCATGCACCGAGCCTCTAGTCTACACTAATAAAAGAGAAACATGGTAATTAACGTACGACCGCTACCCTTCCCATTGGCTAATCAGCATATCCTTATGCAAATTAACTGTCAGCCAAGATGGCGGCTGGCAGCCATGCACTGAAGCGAGCAGGGAGGCTTGCTTTCTCCAGTGACGGCGAACTCCAACGTTCCCCGCCTCACTTGCCGACCTCTCAGCTGCAACTCTAAGCAACTATGTACTATGTTGCAAATAAGAAGCTAAACAAAACCCCAGAAACGGCTTTCATTCAGCCAGGCTTCAGCCAGCCCGACCGCAACATTGTATCGATGTTTTCAGCAGCGAGGCCTCAGAGCTAAAGCTGACCCAGAATAAGAAAAAAAGGAGCGGTTGGGAGCTTCAGTCACCCGCTTCTGGAAAACAGCCCTCAGCCCCTCACCCAGACTGGCCAGGTACCCCAGTGGGGACCCCCACCCTGATCCAGGACACCCTTCAGGGCAAACCAGCCAGCCCCTACCCATGCACCAGGCCTCTATCCTATATAGTAAAAGGGTAATATGCCTCCCAGCACCGGGATCAGCGGAGCAGCGAGGCTCCCGGCACCGGGATCAGCGTGACAGGGGGCAGCGCCCAAACCCCCTGATCAGCCCTGCTCTGTGCCTGATAGGAGGGAGCTCCCCAATCCCCTGATCGCCCTGCGGCTCTGTGTGTGACAGGGGGCGGGGCCACAACCTCTCTATCCGCCCTGCTCTGTTCGTGACAGGGGAAGGCGCCCCAACCCCCTGATCAGCCCTGCTCTGTGCCTGATAGGGGGGAGCGCCCCAATCCCCTGATTGCCCTGCGGCTCTGTGTGTGACAGGGGGGAGCTCCCTAACCCCCTGATCGCCCTGCGGCTCTGTGTGTGACAGGGGGCGGGGCCACAACCTCCCTATCCGCCCTGCTCTGTTCGTGACAGGGGAAGGCACCCCAACCCCCTGATCAGCCCTACTCTGTGCCTGATAGGCGGGAGCTCCCCAATCCCTGATTGCCCTGCAGCTCTGTGTTTGACAGGGTGCAGCGCCCCAACCCCCTGATCGGCCCTGCTCTGTGGGTGATAGAGGGTGGCGCCCCAACCCCCCTCCACGGGCCTTGCTCTGTGTGTGACATGGTAGAGCCATAACCTCCCCATTGGCCCTGCCCTGAGTGTGACAGGGTGCAGCGCCCCAACCCCCTGATCCGCCCTCCTCTGTGTGTGACAGGGGGCGGTGCCCCAACTCCCCTATCGGCCCTACTCTGTGAGTGACAGGGGGGAGCTCATCAACCCCCTGACCGGCCCTGCTCCGTGCATGACAGGGGGGAGCTCCCCAACCCCCTGATCGACCCTGCTCTGTGTGTGACAGGGTATGGAGCCCCAACCCCCCTGATGGGCCCTGCTCTGTGAGTGACAGGGGGCAGCACCCCAACCCCCTGATCGTCCCTGCACTGTGAGTGACAGGGGGCAGCACCCCAACCCCCTGATTGGCCCTGCTCTGTGAGTGACGGGGGCAGTGCACCAACCCCCTGATCGGCCCTGCTCTGTGCGTGACAGGGGGTGGCGCCACAACCTCCCCATCGACCCTGCCTTGAGTGTGACAGGGGGCGGTGCCCCAACCCCCCAATCGGCCCTACCCTGAGCGTGACAGCGGGTGGGATCGCAACCTCCCGATCTGCCCTGCTCTGTGCATGACGGGGCGGCGCCCCAACTCCCCAATCGGCCCTGCTCTGAGCCTGACCAGGGGCTGCACCTAGGGATTGGGCCTGCCCTCTGCCACCCGGGAGCAGGCCTAAGCCAGCAGGTCGCTATCTCCCCGAGGGGTCCCAGACTTCGAGAGGGCACAGGCCGGGCTGGGGGGACCCCCCGTCGCCACCCCCCGAGTGCACAAATATTTGTGCACGGGGCCTCTAGTCTTATATAATAAAAGGCTAATATGCAAATTGACATAACAACTGGTCGCTATGACACACACTGACCACCAGGGGGCAGACGCTCAATGCAGGAGCTGCCCCTGGTGGTCAGTGTGCTCTCACAGGGGGAACGCTGATCAGTCAGAAACCAAGCTCATGGCTGGCGAGTGCAGGGGCAGTGGCAGGAGCCTCTCCCCCCTCTGCGGCAGTCGGACATCCCCCGAGGGCTCCCAGACTGTGAGAGGGCACAGGCCAGGCTGAGGGACACCCCCCCCAAGTGCACGAATTTTGTGCACCAGGCCTCTAGTTTGTCCATAAAAAGAAATGATGTCCTGATATATGCTGCAACATGGTCAAACCTTAAAAATATCACACTAAGTGAAAGAAGCTAGTCACAAAAGGCCACATAATGTTTTAATTCTATGTATATGAAATGGCCAGAATAGGCAAATCAACATAAAAAGAAAGTAGACTAGTAGTTGCCAGGGGCTAGGATGACGTAGGGAGAAATAGGGATTGACAATGAGTGTGTGATTCCTTTTAGAGGGGAAGAAAATGTCCTAAAATAGGGTGTGGTAATCATTACACAATCTTATGAATATACTAAAAAAACAGTAAACTGTACACCTTAAATAAATAAATGCATAGTATGTGAATTACATCGCAATAAATTGACTTTTTTTAAAAAAGCAGGCAGAAACTTGAGGGGGGTCAAAACTAAAATGGACAATGTTAGAGTGTAATACATTGTGAAAATGAGAGTACATATTCTATAGACTCAGAATCATTGATAAAAAAAAAAAAATCAGATGAAAACTACTCTATTAGCCCTAACCGGTTTGGCTCAGTGGATAGAGCATCAGCCTGCGGACTCAAGGGTCCCAGGTTCAATTCCGGTCAAGGGCATGTACCTTGGTTGCAGGCACATCCCCAGTGGGGAATGTGCAGGAGGCAGCTGACCGATGTTTCTCTCTCATCGATGTTTCTAACTCTCTGTCCCTCTCCCTTCCTCTCTGTGAAAAATCAGTAAAATATATATTTTTTAAAAAAGTACTCTATTATCCTGATTTATAACTAAGACAAGACAAGAGACTTACATGAGAGAAACTTAGAAAAATAGATAAACTTTAGATAATCTATGGAAGGTACCATGAAAGGAAGTCAAACATGAGGTGGGCCTTAAAAAATGGGTAGAACTCACTAAAAATAAGACAAAGATGAGAGCATTCCCATTCCATGAAAGAAGGCTGAGAGTGTCAGTGAGAGCAGAGAAGATTCAAGAGTCAGTGTTCGACCTGATTTGAGCACAGATAGAAGTTAGGGAGTTGTGGGAGGGAAGACTAACTGGATTTTATCGCATCAGGTTTAGGAGAACTTGTAACGCCAGGCAGAGGACTTTATTAACAGTCTTATTAAGCCACAGAACAATTAAGTGATTGCCTCATAGTTGGAAATAGTATGGAACAGTCCCACTCAGATAATGCTCCTGCTTCTGCAGCAACTTAGTCTTCCAAGTACAATCAGGAAATGCTGTGGATCCTGGCTTTTTGTTTAAGTTCTAAACAGAACTGGTGTGATGGAAGGCATAGTCTCTTGTGTGGAAAACGCCTCACACATATTCAAACATGGAATTCTTGACAAAAAAACAAAGTCCTTTGGTTTTAAAATGATAATTTTTAAAATTTACTATCAATTTCTTACCAAAAACATGCAACCAAAATTTTTGTACAAAACATATTTGACAATTTAAAAAAGGTTTAAAGCTGAACTCTCCATATTGATTGAGCATAAATGTTAATACTTTAACTACTTTATCATCTTTTACAATCATGCTTAAAATAAGTTATTTCCAGAAAGACAAATAGTAGAGAACATACCTATTCTTCAAACTTAGAGAGTTTGGTCTCATAAATCTGGAATTGATTGAACCAGTATATTAAGAAGACAAATCAGAAAGATTCAATCAAATGCAAGTATTGAAAATGTTTTTTAAATATTGAGAACCAGGTGTGTTGTGCATTACCATATTTATGACAACACATCTGTGATTGCTCACTATAACTTACCCCAGTTTTATCACACAAACGTAAAGTATGAAACGATCCAACAGCAAATAATTCTCCATCTGGAGCCCAGGCAACTGAGGTAATAGGATGCTCATGGGGCTGTGAATTGTATAGAAGGCGGCCATAACTATCCCATACCTACAAAAGCAAATTTTTAAAACTCTTTTATGACAGTCATTACCACATTATTATAAACAAGTTTGTTCTACAGTGAGATATCAAGTAAAGATTTAGAAATCATCACTTTACAATATTAACAATTAAATGTCTTTACTATCACACAAGGGGGGTGGATAAGCTGTATTCCTTGAAACCTAAGTATCTCAAAAAATACATATTATAATAACGTCACAATTTTCAGAAACTACTTAAGTATCTCAAAAAATACATATTATAATAACGTCACAATTTTCAGAAGCTACTTAAGTAATCAAAAAACAATTTACCCATTTTAAGTCCTTTTAAATAATGAAGTTTTGAGGTGATGCATTTTTTTGCTTAAATTCTTTGTTCAACAAGTGTTCTATCAACTTTCTCTCAAAGCATTTATTTTAATTAAGTTTCCTCTTACTATAGTTACATTAAATCTTATTCTTCCCCCAAAATTATTTTGGTCTAAAGCTAGTAAATGTTTAATAAACCAATAAGCTTGATTTTTAAAAACTTAAATTGAGTTGATTTAAATTGAGTCACTAAAACTAGCACAGATAGAAGTTAGGGAGTTAGAAAATTAAAAAAAAAAAAAAAAAAAAAAAAAAGAAGTTAGGGAGTTGTGGGAGGGAAGGCCAATGAGAAAGTCAGCACTTTAAAATACCACTTAAAATAATAACTAACAATATGTTAAATTACTAGAGTTAAATGACATGGCTAAAGTAAAGTACTAAAAGAATATCCATACATGCTGAATACTTATCAACTAAATTTGATTCTTTCAACCAGGTGATAAGTTCAAACATACATACCTTATATTTACAGTCTTCACCAGCAGATAAAATTAAATCATTGACTGAGTTCCAATCTACTTTTAAAATAATGCCATCATGAGCTTTCCACTATGAGAAGAAAAAAAGATATTAATTACAACTTCAAGAGCACTGAACAGTTTTTTTTAATAGGAAAAGACATTTTGCCTCTTGTCCTCTCCCTGAGATTCCCATCTTCCTTCATAGCCACTGTGCATAACCTCATTTGCCTGTTTCATTTCTAATTTACACTAATGAAAGCCCCTAGCACTACGACATCCACTATATAGTTTACATCCTTATAAATTTCCTCAGTTGCATGAACTTCAGATGGAAAATCACTTGCTGTTGAACTATTCCAAGCTTGACATTTGTGTGATAACACTGGAATGAATGTCATGCACTCCAAAACTTGTTAAATCCAAATCTTGCTCTCCTCTGTACAGTTGGCCCCATTACTGCTGCCTTCATTCTTGTTAACTAATTCTTTTCTTTTTTATAAAACTTCTACTACCTGAACACTTTCTTTAGTACTCTCTTCATTCCCTCTGCATATTCTCCTAAGCTTCATTCTCTTTACCTTCATGTCACTGGCATAGTCACTGAACAACTAGGAAAATCTTCTGCTGCATTTACTATATAACAAAAGGATATATTCCACAGATATTTATATGTTCTATATATATATATGGATATATAAGTGACCCAGAAATTGGCAATCCAGAAAGTAAGCATGGATGTCTTCTTGTCCTTAAATACACTAGTAATTCATGTGCCCATTTAGCTATTATCACACATGTAATTAAAAGCTTTCTTTTACCATATTTAAGCAGAATTATATAACTAGAGTGATCAATTAAAGGGCTCTCTCTATAGATCCTTCCAAATCTATTATTTTTAAATATACAGAATAAAATATTGAATTAGTGTCAAATAAGAATAATTTATAGCTTGTTTTATTGAAGATATGTAAAAATATACACTCTCAAAAACAAATGTCCTAAAATAAACTGCAAGGACAAAAATAAAATATCTGGGCATAGATTCATATATATATTTAGATAGATATACACATAGAGATCATTGTTTCATTTTAAACCTACAAAAATTTTGTTGTTCAAAACTTAGGAACAAAATATGATTTAAAGTTCCCTTATACAGTTTACCCATGAGTTTGAACTACATGGGTCCACTTATATGCAGATTTTTTTCAATAAATACTGTAATTGTATTTTCTTTTCCTATGATTTTTTTTAACATTTCTTCTAGCTTATTTTATTGTACGAATAGAGTATATAATACATATAACATAAAATATGTGTTAATTGTTTAGGTTATTGGTAAGGCTTCTGATCAACAGCAGGCTATCAGCAGTTAAGCTTTGGGGCAAAAGTTAATAGTTAAATTTTCAAGAGTGTGAGGGTCGGTGCCCCTAACTGCTGTGTTGTTCAAGGATCAACTGTACTGTTTTAGTATATCAATTTATATATTACATATATTTACTATTATATATAATGCACATTTTTCACTTATTTCTCAATGTTAGTCACTTCTTGAAATTCCTTTGGACAAGCTCCTTGATGCCAGAAACTGTTATTTCACCTTGAATATCTCACAGCTAGCATAGTGTCTGGTACATAGTAGGTATGCACTACATTTTCACTAATTGAATAAATAAAAAATGTCTCCTCACTATAAAACCAGATTTGGGTCTCTAGAAGAGTCCATAGAGCCCATTTCATGGGAAATGAAATATTTACTTTTGAACTGTATTCTACAAGCACCAATTAATTAAGCATTCTTTTTTATGGACAATCCAAATTTGAGTCTATACTTATGCCCAACCTTAGTTTTCCATAAGGAATAGAAAATTTGCACTATACTTTAACTCTTCCTCTCCTCCAGCTGAACTTTGGCATTCGATACTTTTCCTTCTCTCACTACCTCCTGGTTCAAAGGTTCTACCAAACCACTAAATTATAATTGATCAATGGTGACATAAGCATCTTCCTGAGTTTCATTCAAATAAGCCTAATTACAGGTATCTAAACAAGTCACATAATTACAAACTAAAAGGTTCATCTTGCCTGTTTTTGCTATGTAATTTCATAGAAGCTTTTCTGAGTGTAAGTGGTAGGGAAGAACTCTGACTAAAGGCAGTCAGAACTAGTACTCTTTTCCAGCTTCTTCCTTTTGCCCAAATTCTTTTCCTTAGTTGCCTAAGAGCAAGCACTTATATCTTCTATTTCTTTTGTCCCATAGTTCTTAGCAGACTGTTCTGCATGCAATAAAAATGTAAATGTATGCTGACTATATGATATATGTAGCACAATCTATATACAAGTTACTAATATAAAACCTCAAAGTCATTTCTATCTCCCTACTCCCCCAAATCAGTATCTACTCAACTGTTAAATCTGACGCTTCTTCTTAAAACACCTTTATACCTGCTGTAGCAAATCAAACTCCAGCATCAAATCCCTTAACCCAACCTAGTCATTCTACATTTTTTTTCTGACCTCTTTAGCTCTAATTTATTAGGGACTGACTAAAATGTAGAAATAACTTAATAATGCATAATAATATCATAACAACTCCTCTATGCTGAATGCTTATTGCATGTACTCAATATGCTTATTGTATGTACTGCCCAATGCACTTTGTAATTTAACTCATTTAATTCTCAATAATCCTATCAAGTAGGTATGAATATCACAACTAATAAGAGAGCTGAGGCTCAAAGATATTTTATAACTTGCACTTGAATCCAGGTGACTAACTCCAAAGCCTATAGTCTTGTTCACCACATTAAATCGTCATTTCCAACATGTGAAGAAAATGATTCTTCCTTTTAACACTGGAATCAAACACCAAACATAGGCTCAAAGTTTTCCATTAATGTGTCCTATGCTGACCTGTTTTAACTGCCACCGTTGTTTTGCTTCTACATAATGGGTAAAATTATACACACCTGATTTGTTCTAAATTGTTCTACATTATTCCCCCTCCATTCCAAAAATACTAAAAGAATGCTAGAGTCTTAGAGAACCCTCAAGTGTATTGAACAGATGAGGACAAGGAGGAAAATGATAGTAATGATAATAAAAAACACAGTCTAAACAAGCTTTTAAAGTTTTATGATTTCGTCCTGTTTTGTCTCAAATCTATACATTTGAAGCTGACTCTGCTAAAGTCAAAGATAACAATCATGCCAAATCATGTGACAATTTAGTAACGCAAACCATATTTATGATTTACTGGTATGATGTGAGTTGGAATAAGAAGGAAGTGAACCTTGTTGGAAACATAACCAGATATTCCCTGTTCTATAATAAAGGGTGATAAAACTACACACTCAAAGCCTCAGACTGTAGAAAGACCACCCAGAAGAAAGAGACTCCCCTAAGAAAAAGGCCTCTCACTTAGCAGTCTGGCAAATCCTGATAACAATTTACAAATGCCTGAGAAGTACCTGTAAAACTTTAGCATTTGGTTGAAGAGGTTTAATGATCAGCTGCTTGCCTGCTGTGTAAAGAACCTTTTCAGAATCAGGGTCCCATGCTACTGAATACACTGGTGTTCCTGTAAAAAGAAAAACACACCTGATAAACTTTTATTATCATGCCTTATAAAGAGGGAGATTGTTAAGAGGATCAAAAAAGTAATCTGGGGTGTCATTTCCTTTCCTCGTAATTCAAAAGCCCTTTCAAACTGGACTGGGTTAATATTGACCATTGAAAATTTACATTGACAATTGACAGACTATATGTTTAACTACTTTTGATCTTGCTGGGAAAAGATGAAGCTTTTAGGAATTCAAGATATTGTGCTATTGAAATACATAAAATAAATACACTACATTATGTTAAGATATAAAGAGGTGTATAAAGAGGTATCATTTCCCATCAGCAATAACCATCAGTTTAAACTAACTTAATGCATAAATCTCCACACAAAAATATACATAGTATACTCACCTTATAGATAATTCCCATTTTTGATGCTGCTACAGGCAACAGAACTTCCCCTCATCTGCTGCTTAAGAAATAGTCTAATGAATAGAAATCACCCAACTCCAAAATGACCTAGCTCTCCCATCTATGAATTCACAAATGGCAAATTATCTGATTAGGGAAAGTCTTACTATCAATTAAGTGTTGCTTTAGCCTGAAAGCTAGGCTAAACAGGACTCAAATATCCTATAACCAGAACTAAGCTGACTCCACTTCCAGAGGAAAGATACAAGTTTGAGTTACCTATTATACTGTTATGGTCATCATTAACTAGTTTATTAATATTAATAAAGGAAGAGAGAAAAGGGGAGGCCAGACATTATAAGCATGGTCATCTGGGCAGCTTTACCAGGAAGCTACAGCTTCACACTCCCCAGGAAAACCAACAGTCCATTCCCTGCAGATCACTGGGGGAAGGGATGGAACAAAGGGGAAGATGGGCACATGCCCAGCGAAGTCAGGGTGACTTAGGAAAGGTACTTGCCTATCAGTCTAGCCTGGGAAAAGGTCATTGGCTAGGAAGGTGGAGCCACTGCAAGCTCTAGAAATCTTAGGTTAAAATCCCCAGACAAAGAATTCCCTCTCTCGTTTCCTCTTGCTCTCTGGTTCCATGACCTGCACTCGCCCATGCACTCACCTGTTCTCTCTCCATAGCCATGTGCCATAGCAGTTGCATGGCCCATGGCCATGGGGACCCCACACACAATGAACTGAACTGGGAACACAAGCTAAGCCAGCCAGATGCTGGACTGGACTATACTTTAATATGGAACAGAAACTCTGGGCAGTGGCCTTAATCCTGGCCCTGCTGAAGAAAAGACTGGATTTTTTTTAGGCAGGATGAACGGAGATGGGACCTCCGGGGGAAACCCCTTTAATTTTACATCACCACTAAAGCTTTCCACAAAATCCCATCCTCCTGTGGGGGTCTCAGGAAATTCTCTTCCTGCGGCACATCTACTGATTACAATACTATAAACTACACTAAATTTCATACTGCTTTCAATATCCTAGAATAGAATTTAGGGTTGGTATTTTCTAACTCAATTACGTTCTAGATTATCTTCTGGAAGGCTGTACTTTATGTGAGCCTGGTTTTTTAAAAAAAGTAAGTATCATGTCTATTGAAAACATTAAATATCTATACTCCACTCTCTGACCAAGTTATCTATTAATTAGGAAAGTGAATCAGGTTATAAAATTAATCTATGAAATATATAATCAAGCTTTTAAAAGTTGTCTAGGACACCTATGTCAGACTATTGTAGCAACTGACTTGATGAGAATCAATGAATAAATATTTCAAGAATTTACATTCTCATTAAAAATGAAATGTGAATCTGAAGTTTTATGGTCAACCAATATGATTTAATTATTTATTTAAATTGTAATCCAACTGATGCTAATCAACAGGAAGTAATCAGTAATCAACAGGGAGTTAGTAAGATAAAAGTTTGTATTCAAGCGGCACCCTACTTTTTTTGTGCCACTTTCTTCCCAATGAGAATACAACTGTGAGCAAGTCTCAGTGGTATACAAGACTTAGGAAGTCTACACTAGTCCAAAAAAATCCAGAAGCATGCCTTCCACAGTTTAGGTTAGACATTATATTGGGTCTAAATTTCCTGCTCAGCCAATGACATGTAGGATAGTTCTGTTACCAGAGGAACCTACAGATAGATGGCCAATGAGATGGCCAACCTCAGGACACTCCTCCTTTTTCTGTACTTGCTAAGTACATTTTCTTGGAATATTTTCTGGGAGTAGCCAGGAGCTGACCTGGACTTCAAAAGTAAATCTCCAGATGAACAGAGTTCAACTCTAATAAACCCCCCCAAGATATATAAACACAAATTTCACATATCTCAAATGTGGTTTTTGGGTGAGGACTGGAAGGGAACAGAAGAGGAAAGCGTATTTGATAAGTTAATGGAATTATAGGTGCCTTCTTTATTTCCATTAGTATAATTGTAGTTATTATGCTAAAAATAAATTTATATATTTTAATTCTAGATTATCAAATCTTCATGAATACACTCAGTAAAATTACACTTTCCTGGGGTGTACACTAAACAATGACAAACATCTACCCCCAAGGAAATAATTCAGTAAATACAACTCCCATTGAGTTATACAGGATGTGACTCTAGTTCTTTAGTTGTGGTAAAAGGCACGGTTGGGGTATAGGATGAGGAGCTAGGGACGCTTTTATCCTCTTTAACATTTAATTTTTTGGCCCCATTAAGTCAGCTGTGTCACCATTTCCTTGTTTATAAATCTTATAGATCTTCAGAATAATTATTTTCCCTTTTGGGACATGAAGATTATTCATTTCCTGTTTATAAAACAGTATGTTAAACAATAATAATTTTAAAGAAACAGGTATAATAACTATGGTTTAAAGTAAAATAAGCTTCTGGAGAAAAGTTAAGTAATTCCTTTGTTATAACATGTGATTTTTAACCACATTTCTTCAGTCAAAAGACAAAGAGGGAGCTATTTGTGATAAAGAACCTTAAATAAAATCAATAGCTACATCTCACTAGTTCAATCTTTCTAACCAACAATATTCAAAATGGATAAAACATCAAGAACTAAGAGAATTCTTTAATATATCCACTCTTTATATTTATAATAAAATATTAAGTGTGAAACTAATGTATATATATGAATGTTTTCTTTTCCAAAAGGAGATGTACTACACATCGCTGTACAACTTCCTAAATTAGGGGGATTCTAATAAAGATCACTATTGAAAGTGGATGAATTCCTTCAGAAAGAAAATAATGATTTCTAGTATGATGAAATCCATCCCATTAGCATTTAAAACCTATAATATTTCAAGTGCTTTAAAAAAAAACATACTTATTTAAAAAACATACTTATTCCTAGTGCTTCACTTCACTTTGCAAAGTCAGTATGGAAATAACAAATTTAGCCTTTTAAAATGAATAACTTTAAAACAAAAAGTTTAGCAAATTATATAAGATGTTTTTAATTTTATCATTAACAAAAAACAGAGCAAAAAAACCCAAAAATAGTTTTATAAGTAATTTATTGCTTTTTATATTGGGAATTTTTATTTATGTTCCATTTCAGTTAAGACACTCAAAAAGATCTTGTTTTTCTGACTTTGTACAATAAGATCATGTGACCTTTTTGACATTTTTTAAGAAACCACATGCACCTGGGGTTGTGTTAAATGTCAGACCCTTATCTCTCTGTAAAACAAATTATCTAAATTCTTTCAACCTGTTGAAGGCATTTTAAACCACAGAAGAGGAGACAAAAATGTATTTCAATTGTTTTAAGGAAGTACATGGTCAAATATACCATGTTTTTCACATTCATACTAAGAGGTATCCCCTAAAAATGTTGTTTTTGAATGTTTTTTAGAATGCTTTTGAAACAAACGCTTCACTATTATAATAAAGCATTTGCTATTTTTGCCTTGAATGCAATATAGATATATATTGAATGAATATCAGGAAAGTGCACAGAACAGAGTCCAGTACTATATAAGCACTGTTAGTGACTACTACCAAAAATTACTTTATAATGCAATAAGCAACCACTTGTTTATTGTGTTGTTCATGGTAGTAGGTACTCAACGTTTTTGTTACAACATCATTAAAAATTCAAAAACCAAGAATTATTTCCCTTCATTTTATTTGTAGGGACATGGACTAACAATAGGTAATCAAATGCAATTTATTACATTAAAAAATGAACTTCTGGGTTATGTATGTCACTGGGTCAGTACAAAGAAAAAGTGTAAATGAAGGCATTTGTTTCTTTAGTTTCAACCTCTCCCTTGAGGACCTCAACTTGCCCCGTACCTTCAAGACCTGTCACCTTTTAGTAACTGACTCTCACCTTAATATTTCAGCCTTTACCTCTGAGCTCTAACAATATTCCCACTTGCCCCAAAGACATGTCAGAACTTCAAACTCTACATATTCAAAGCTATCATCCCTCCACACATACTCACTCAATTATTCTTCCCTCTGAATTCTTTTTTTAAACATATTTTTATGGATTTCAGAGAGGAAGGAAGAGAGAGATAGAAACATTAATGATGAGAGAGAATCATTGATCAGCTGCCTCCTGAGGATCAAGCTCACAACCGGGGCATGTGCCCTGACTGAAACTAAACTGTGACCTCCTGGTTCACAGGTCGATGCCCAACCACTGAGCCACGCGGACTGGGCCCCTCTATATTCTTTACCTTATAGGATATCCATTCCTCTCAGCCATGGAGAACTATTCTTTTTTTTTTTTTCAACTACTACCACCACTGTCTTTGTTCAAACCTTAATCCACACTAGCATGGAACATTTCAGTAACTTCCTTATTGGCCACTCCCATTTAACCTCTATCTCCTCTAAGCCCATTTCTTCATCCTTCAAAGCCCAGTCAAAAGATGCTGCAATATTCACCAGGAAGCTTTTCTGATACTTCCTCCCCCACAAGTCTTAACCTTTGCCTTGCTTGTCCTCCAGAGCACCTTATAGCATGAGCACATTCTGCCTAGTATTATAGTTATTTATAGTTCCAGTTTACTTCCTC